TATGGTGTTGGAGAAGAGTACTGAAAGTACCATGGATTGCCAGAAGTACAAACAAATTTGTGTTGGAAGACGTACAGTCAGAATGCTCCTTAGAAGCCAGGATGGAGTGACTTTCTCTCTTACACTTTGGATATATTATCAAAAGGGACCACCGGTCCCTGTAGAAGGACATCACGCTTGGTACAGTGGAGGATCACTGGAAAACGGAAGAGCCCACAGAGATGGATTGGCACAGTCGCAGCAGGCTTGGGCTCAAGCGTAGCATCGGTTCTACGGACGGTGCAGGGCAGGGCGGTGCTTCGTCCTGTTGTACACAAGGTTGCAATGATTCGAAATCATCTTGATGGCACAAACAACACAACAACAACATTCAATATTGTACTGTAAGTCCGTGTCGGAGCTCTAAGACAAGAAAAGGAAATGGAAAGCATCCAAATTAGCAAAGAAGAAGTAAAACTTTCTAGTTGTAAATGACAAAATCTCAAAGACCCAGCAGAAAACTACTGGAACTCAATGAAAAATTCAGCACAGTGACAGGGGACAATACCAACATACAAAAAGCAGATGTATTCCTTTACACTAATAAAGAAATTCGGAAAAGGACATCAGGAAAACAATACCATTTGCAACAGCCACTCAGGAAACAAAACACTTATACAAAGAAACTACAAAGCACTACTACAAGAAACCAGAAGAGACCTACAAAAATGGAAGAATGTACCATACTTGTGGATAAGAAGACTTAACATTGTGAAAATGTCAACAGTATCCAAAGCAATATGTAGATAAAATGCAACCCCAAACCAGGTCCCTGCAAAGTTCTTCAAAGAGATGGAAAAACCAGTCACCAAGTTCACATGGAAAGAGACCTCGGATTAGCAAAGTATTACTAAAAATGAAACACAAAATAGGAGGCCTCTCACTTCCTGACCTCAAAAACCTACTACACAACCACAGTCATCAAAAACACACATAGATCAATGGAACAGAATTGAGAATCCAGAAGCAAATCCATCCACCTATGCTCAGTTGATCTTTGACAAAGGACCGAAATACATTAAACGGGGAAGAGATAGTCTCTTCAACAAATGATGCTGTCAACACTGGAAATCCATTTTCAGAAGAATGAAACAAGACCCACAACTCACACCATATATAATAACTCAACATGAGTTAAAGACCTAAATGAAAAACCTAGAACTATAAATGATCATCAATGAAAAAAATAGAGATAAACTCTGGGGTTCTGATTCATGGCATAAATACACTATTATCAAATATAACTGAAAGCACACAATCAGAAGACAAAATAGATGACTGGGACATCCTAAAAATTAGAAAATAAAGTGGATTAAAAGATTTCACCAGAAGAGTAAAAAGAGAACACACAGATTAGGAAAATATTTTGGCAATATGCATCAGACAAGGAACTACTGTTTAAAATGTATAAAACACTTCAACACCTTAATAAGACAAATGATCCAATTTGAAAATGGGCAGAAGACATGAACAGGCATTGAATGTCTTCACCAGAGAAGACATTCAGCCAGCCAACAAACATGAAGAAATAAATGCGTACAATCACTAGCCATCAGACAGACATATCAAAACAGCAATGAGATTTCATCATACCCCAGCATTAATTTGTTGTTAAGTATGGGTCAAGTCAGTTCTGACTCACACAACCCTGTATAGGGTTTCTGAGGAGTGACTGGTGGGGTTTGAATGGTCAGCAGTCCAGAGCTTATCCCTACAATGCCACACCAGCATCAATAGCAAAGTTGAAAAAAAAAAGCAACAAATGCTGGAGCAAATGTGGAGAGTCTGGAACCTCCTACACTGCTGGTGGGACCGGAAAATGGTGCAGCCACTGTGGAATAAGATATGGTACTTTCTGAGAAGACTAGAAATAGAAAATCCCTATGACCCAGCAATCGCTACTTGGTTTATAGCCTTAAGAAGTAAGAGCCTTAATATAAATAGGTATATGCACAGTCACGGGCAGACGGCATTCTTCACAATTAGCAAAAAGATGAGGCCAGCCTAGGTGCCCATCAGCAGATGACACAGGAATTAAGCAACACAGCAGAACCTGGAGGCCGTTATGCTGGGTGAGGCGGGCTGATTGTAAAGGGACAGATGCCTGCCGCCACGACTATAAAAAAGTCTAGGAAAGGTTTTCATTCTATAATAAACTTTCTGTGGTGGTTACCAAAGGTAGAAGGGAGTGTACAATTATTTACTGGGTAGAGCTTAGAAAGGTGCTAACTTGGGTGAAGAGAAAGCAGTTAAAAATAAAGAAGGAAAAGAGAAGAAAGGGGAGTAGGAGGAGGAAATTGCTTTCTTTCTTTTTTTTCACGTACTGGCAGGAAAACAAAGTACATTTATTTTCTTATTTAGACAAACCATTGGGAACATTACCGCAAATTAAAAAAAGGAAAGAAATGGGAAAAAAACCAACAACAACCCAGAGTCACCTGTGGTAGTTGATACAAAAAAATACAAAATACTAAACAAAAAAAAAAAAAGTATAGAACACTGGGAAAGGGCAAAACACGAGACCCTGGTGTTCACCTTGGCCAAAATCCCCTGGTCACAACTTGATATTTCTGTTCCCATTTCTCTAGGGCTTTTGTTGAAAAGGGAACCAGCTCATTGGATGGAGCCCAAAGGTGGGTTATACTTCCCAGACCCCACCCTCACTTCATACAGCCAAACATCCCCCCAAAAAAACAAAACAAAACAAATATATATATATATATATATACTTTCAGATAGTGGGGATGTGCTGCACAGTATTTGCTGGGTCATATTTTGGTAGGTTTGGTAATGGCCTAGAAGAGGCGAGACCTGGGTGGTTTGTACAGTTAACCAAACAACTGTAAGTGCTGTGGTAAGGACGTAGCAGTCTCCAGAGTAGAAGTGTAGAAGTGTCGTGAGCTGTGTGGGCCCTGTCTGGGTGAGGGAGGGAGATGGGTGGTAGTTCCATCTCTATTAAGAAGTCCCTGGAGATGCAGGAAACATGACAAGCCCTGAAGAGAAGCACATTATCTCCCCATCAATCAGGACAGTTCCTCAGGGAGTCACCCTGCTGCTGGTGGAGTTAGTTCTGACTCATGGCGGCCCTGTAGAAGGTTTCCTACGAGCAGCTTTTGTTGCGCAGCCCAGTGCTGAGTGTCCCTCAGAGACCCCTACACCTATACATGGATAACAAACAACATCACAAGAAGCAATATCCATCATGGGATCAGGCCGGAGAGGGGCAAAGATGCCTTCTGTTTCTGAAGCCAAGTGGTCCTCGAGTGGGTGTCAGAATGGGGCACTCAGTGTGGAGAGACCTTTGATGGAGTTTGGAGTCCTGGGAGGAGGGTGTAAGGGCCCTCTCAAAAGCACATACAGGAAGCAGAAGAGAGGGTGGCCAGGGCAGCAGGCAAACAGCTAGAGAAATAAGTGAATGATGGGTGGGTGACTCACAAAGAGGGTCTATAAAGAAGAGAAGGCAGAGAAACGCTATCAATGTAGTTGTAAGATATTTTAAATGTCGTTGGGTTGGTTCTGACTCACAGGGTTCCCAAGAACCACCAACCTTGCAGTTCAAATCAACCTTACAGTCCAGAACATTAACCCGCAGTGCCACACCAGGACTCCAGTTGTTAAGTCAACCTTCCCAAATTAAAAGATTCCTTCCAAACAGAGGATGCACTGCTTGGCTACTGGACCAAGTTTTACATAAATGCTGTGAGGTCTGCATACTGACGCAGGGCCCCAGACCAACAGCAGATTCAGCGGGGACTCTGCAGGCTCTCCCCTGGGTGGGTTGCGCTACAGGGAAGCCTTTGACTTTCTCATGTCACAACAGTGCGCATTAAGCCATCTGTGCAGAGCAACAGAAAAAAACACAGGAAATGAGAAATCGGCAGCCCATAGAGGAACGGAGGAAGATCGTGAATAAAAGATGAGCCCTACCCAGCAGCAGAGCCCTATCAACTTTCCCACAGAGCTCAGCACAGGGTCAGTCTACTGAGGACAGCCACCGGGATGATCGCGAGGTCCCGTCACAAATCCGCTCCCCACGCCTAGCGTCTATTCCCCAAGGCTGGTCACTTTAGTCCAGCAGCTACTATTTCTCAGAACTGTAAGCGTTCAAAACAGGTCAGTAAGACCATCTAAGCAAATGGGAAACGTGACCTCTGAGAATTAAAACACAATGACCACCAACTTCATTTCCAGGTTTCCAACACTGCAATCAACTGCAAGGCTAGGCTGATACAGTTAACTCTGGGGAGAGGAGACCTCTTTCCAAACAGGTGGCCGACATCCTCCTTTCAGTAACCTGCCCGTGGCTCAAGCAAGCTAAGAACCTGTCCTCCTGGTTGTGAGCTTGCAGGGCAAGGCTCACACCACGCCCGACCTGGAGGCCAGACCACTTCCAAAGGTACCATCCAGAAGAGGGGACGAGGGTGGCTTCCGCCTGCCCAGGGGGGTGGGGAGGGCTCGTTTGTCCAGGGAAGTCCCCGGGCAGAAAGAAGAACCAGGAACAGGTGGACCAAGAATGGTGCTAGTGCAGGGCTGTGGAGTCCGTTCCGGCTCATTGCGACCCTGCCATGCGTAGGGTTTCCGAAACTGGAAACCTTGACGGGTGCAGAAAGCCTCATCAGTCTCCCGCGGAGCAGCTGATGGATTCGAACTGCCGACCTTGAGGCTACCAGCCGGGACTGTAACCCACGAAACTGGCAGACCGAGGGCACAGCACGGAAACCCGAGAGCCCAGGGCTCACCGAGTCCTTCCGAAGCTGGGGGGCTCACCAACCCACAAGCTAGGGGCAAGGGGAAGGCGAGGGGGACCCGAAACGGAGGTCCAGAGGGTGGGCGGGGCACACGTACAGGACCCAAGTCTCCCGGAGACCCCACCCCGCCCGCCCACCCGACAAACCCTGGGCGGCTAGGGGCCCCACGCCCAGCCTCACGCTCCCCGCGGCGACGTCGGCCCCGGTGCCCACCAGTCAGTTGGGGACTTCTCAGCGACTACCCGCACGTAGGCTTCCTGCAACGCGGGCCCGTTCCGGCTCAGGTTCGCCGCCATGGCCAAGCAGGCACCCGTTCGCGTCCCAGCGGTCCCCGCGCCTCGGTTTCCCAGTATCCGGAAGCTGGCTACCCGCCCGCCGGAAGCCCCGCCTCTACTGGGTGGGTGGAGTCGCGAGGCGAGCCGGCTCGGTGTTCCGGAAAGCGGTCCGGCGTGTGCCTGCTGCGCATGCCTCTGCGGTAGAGGGCTGGAGCGAGGAGGGGCTTTCCATCGTCAAGTCCGGCCCCTTCTTCACCGCCTCCGGGAGCACTTTCCCGCGTTTACCGTCAGTCAGTTTCTCCTGCTGCACTGGTTTGCGTGTTGCTGCGATGCTGCAAGCCATGACACCAGTTCTGTTGTTTTTAACGTTTTACTGTGAATTGAGTGAAGGTTTACAGACATTCAGCAAATTACACGCTTTGTTTCATCTCAATGATTAAAATCCCCTCCCTGCAACAGGTATCCTACTTCCTTCCTGTGGTTCCTCATTTAGCAAAAATATTTGATGTACACATACCAAATATATATATATATATATAACTTCTTTGTGGTGCTCTAGGATCAGAGCGAGCCACAAGGTAAGCGGTTCAAACCCACCACCTGACGGCACTTAACAATAACAACACACACATATATATTATATATATAGTTGTTGTTAAGTGCCGTCGATTCAGTTCCGACCCATAGCGACCTTGTATAGGGTTTCCAAGGAGTGATTGGTGAGCTTGAACCACCGACCTTGCAGTTCAAAGGGCTTTGCAGTCTGGCGCATTAACCCACAAGGCCACACCAGGACTCTCTATATATATACAAAATCATTTACATGCCCCCAAAGACACATTCTGCCAGTCAGCCTCCTGTCCATAGGTACACAGCCTTCCTCAATCCATGGATCTAGAGCCCACAGGTGCTCTGTCTTGCCATACCACCGCCTCAGTCATGGTATCCACTGTCTAGGTAGGGATTTTACACCCCACTCATGCTCTTCCCTCTTGATAGTCTTGGGATCTTCTGTTCCTGCAGTAAACGATTAATTACT